CCCCAATGTCATGCAGCAACCCTTGCTCCTGAGCTTCCTTCGAACGTCCCTCGCCGACTAGCCCCCTCGCCTCAGCAATGCAAGAGGAGGCAGTTGGCGACGACGGCCACGACGAGGTCAACAAAGGGGGAGGGCGGCAGGAGGGGGATGCACACCATCAGGATGGGTAAGCAGTCACAGTAGGGGATTTCAGCCAGCGGCAAGACTGCGGATCACGGCCCCTTCCGACACGACAGCCATGGACGAAGGACGACCTGCTAACCCAGGTAAGTACATCGCACTAGGCATGCAAATCAAGGCAACTGCAAGTACAGGGAGCGCAGCATGGGCATCGTTAGCATGGTTTCAACAACCGCTCGAGACTGCAGCTCACCAGGACCCACTGATCACATGCCCTCCCCACGCATGCAGGCGGCATGAGAGCAGCTGCAGGCGCCAGGCCTTTCCCGCCTCGCGCGTGGCCCCGCTGGCAACCCCGCGCCGCAGTAGTCAAAGGGATAGTGGCTGCTTACGAACGCGCCTCGACCGGCGCGCCTCCCCCTCCCAGGATAGCCTCGAGGGCTCCCTGACAGACGGGGCGCCGCCCCCAGACGCAGCTGCAGGACAGCGAGTAGGAAGCGGTGAGAGAGGAAGGCGGGGCAGGCACAGACAAGGAGACGAGGGGGAAGCAACAAAAGCAGCGGTGCCAGTCGCGCATCGCTCAGCTGGCCCCCTCCGTGGGGAGCGACAGCAACTCGCGCGCTGACATGCGGTGCTGCCCTGCGCCAGCCGCCGCCGCCGCTGCCGGCGGCGGCGCAGGGGGGGGGAACCTGCGCCACGGGACCGAAGAAGAGCAAGAGCTCCCCAATATTGGCATCGAGAGCGGAACGCTTGCCGTGCGCCACCACCCTGCTCTGGCGCTTATTCACCAGCTGGATGGTCAACTTCATGGGTGGGGGGGGTTCAAAAGTGACCTCCACGGCTGGCTGGTTCGTATCCCCTACCGCTACCCCAAAAGGGGGGAAAACGTTTGCTGGCAGCGCCCCCCTGCGGGCCGCATGTTGGATGCGCGCGCCCATGGCCTCCGCCTGGACGTGCAAGTCCGCCGCCGCCGCGCACCCTGACGAGAGGAAGATGGCCTGGAGGGCCAGGCGGCCGTCGCGACTGTCGCCCGCAGCCTCACGTAGGAGGAAGAGCCAGTGGCCCAGCGCGTCCTGCAGCTGGGCGGCGGTGGAAAGACGCGCGTGGGCTACCGCCCTCAAAGCGGCGGCATGCTGCGCCCGCTGCGCGGGGGCCGCCGCGGGAGCCCGTGACCGTACTACGGCCAAGGCTGCTGGGGCCAGAGGCTGTGTGGCGGCCGCCGTAAGGCTAGCCAGCTGTTCGGGCGCCCCCGCGAGCACTGCCGGCGGGGGCGCACCAGCGGGCGCCTGAAGCACCGCGAGGCGCACCCTCAGCGACGCAAGGCGCGCTACCTTGAGCTGCACCTCCTCGGGGGCCAGGGTCGTCATCTCCCTGGTGACACGGTGGACCCACGCCCGGAGCGACGCCCCCCCCCCACCCCCAGCACCTCCCCCCCGAGCACCGAAACGCGTCCCCCCCTCGCCAGAGCGAAGCCGCCCCCCCCCTCCTTCCCCCGAACACCTCCCCCCCCGAGCACCGAAACGCGTCAGCCCACGTCAGCCCGCGTCAGCCCCTCCCCCCCCTCGCCAGAGCCCCGCTCCCCCCCCCCCGAGCACCCCCTCCCACCGAGCACCGAAACGCGTCAGCCCGCGTCAGCCCGCGCCCGCCCCCCCCCCCCCCCCCATCGTCCCGAGCACTCCCCCTTTCCCTCCGAGCACCCCCCCCTCCCCGAGCACCGAAACGCGTCAGTCACGTCAGCCCGCGTCGCCCCCCCCCCCCCCCCTCGCCAGAGCGAAGCCCCCCCCCACCCCCAGCATCTCCTCCCCCCCCCCGAGCACCGAAACGCGCCCACCCCCCCCCCCTCGCGAGAGCGAAGCCCGCTCCCCTTCCCCCGAGCACCCCCCCCCCGAGCACCGAAACGCGTCAGCCCACGTCAGCCCGCGTCAGCCCCCCCCCTCGCCAGAGCAGCGAAGCTCGAGCAAGCTCAAGCCCACGCTCTCAGAAACTCACACGCCGGGTCGGCGGGCTCCCGCACATGCGCATCTGCCCGTACTACCCGCAGTCGTGTATGTTCGTGGCGCGCGGCCGTCCGTGAGCACAGGTTCGCGTATTGCCCGGTCCCTGCAGGTACGGCAGTCTACGTAAGCACACGTGTGCATGACTGCACGGGCTCGCTGTGGCCTTTTGCGTCTCGCAATTCTGCTCGGTGGCCGAGGGCGTGTGCTCAAGCTGAGAATAGCGTGCCGTCTTCGTGCTCATGCAGCGCGCTGGTTGATTCGCACACCGTCGTTATACCCACCAGCCTCCTTGCCATCACAGGTTGCGCGTCACTGAGCGCTGAGCCTCCTGAGCGCAGATCGCAGATCTTCTCACCAGGTAGATCTATTGGAGAGGCCTTACGGCCGGTGCCGCCGACCCTGAACGACGACGACGACGACGACGACGACGACGACGACGACGACGACGACGACGATGTTGACGTGGGTCAGAGTCCTCAGGGATGCTTCGTGGGGTCTCTTCGGAGCTCCCTCGGGGGCCTCTTGGGAGCCTCTTGGGGGCCTGTTGGGAGGCTCCTGGGAGCCTCTTGGGGCTTCCCGGTGGCCTCTTGGGGGCTTCCTTCGAGACTGCAATGAGCTCTGCGGTCGGGACAGGCTGCTTCCAATGGTCGACTGGGCGACTCTCAGGCCGAGGGCTCGAATTGTCCGTTCGGGTCCCCTGGGCACCCTCTTGGAGCCGTCTTGGGGGCCTCTCTTGGGCCGTCTTGGAGGCCTCTTGGGCCGTCTTGTGGTGCTCTTGGGTCGTTTTGGGTCCCTCTTCGAGGCCTCTTGGGCTATCTTGGGGCGATCTTGGGGGCCTCTTCGGCCGACTTGGAGTGTCGGGAAGCCGAAAAGGCGAGAACCCCAGCATCCATCAAAAACTCAAGGGGAAATCAGTGATGTTTGCCTCTGGGGCCCCTCTTGGGGCGTCTTGGAAACCTCTTGGGCCGTCAGGAGGAAGCTTGGGCGTCTTGGACCGACACTTCGGCGATGCGGGGCCCTCTTGGACCGTCTTGTGGGCCTCTTGGGGCAGTCTTGGTTCGTCTCGGGGGCTTGGGGGGTTTGGGGACCTCCCAGGGGAGGGCATTCTGACCCAGGACTTGCCCCGGGTCCCCCCCTGGACTCCCTGGGTCCTCCCCCAGGTCCCCCCCAGGCACCCCCATGGGGCCTCCCCTGGGACCCCCCCCCTCCCCCAGCGGGTGCAAGGGTTCACTGTGGCCTTTGCGTCTGGCAAATCTGCTCAGTGGCCGAGGGCGTCAACTCAAGCTGAGAATAGCATGCCGTCATCGTGCTCGTGCAGCGCGTTGGTTATTTCGGACACCGTCGTTATACCCACCAGTCCCTTTGCCATCACGGGTTGCGCGTCACTGATCACTGAGCCTCCTGAGCGCAGATCGCAGATCTTCTCACCAGGTAGATCTGTTTCTCCCACGGGTTATCGCTCGCTCTAGGGAGTGCAGGTAAGGAGGAAAGGTGGGAGGGAGGGGGGGTGGTCATGTCCACGCGTATTCCTTGCGGCTCACAAGTGACACCCCCGCTTAAGTGTTGTACCCGAACAGTGTTTGCGTCAAGGTTATCTTACTTGCGTCACCTGAGTAATTGAACGGGTGTGGCGGAGGTTCGCATGATGCCCGGTTGGTGCCCACACCTGGGCGCTTCGTGGGCGCCCAGTGCGTTGGATGGGCGTGGCGGGGATCGCTTGGTGCCTTGTTGGTGCCCGCCCAGGGGCGCCTCATGGGAGCCCCGCGTGTTGGGTGGGTGCCCCGCCCGTGGGCGCCTCGTGGGCGCCCCGTGCGCCGGGTGTACCGCAGAGCTCGCACCACATGGTTTGCATGACCGAGCTCGCACCACACAGCTTGCACCGCATAGCTTGCATCACAGATCTCGCACCAGACACCGGCTGTCCCACATAGCTTGAAGCACGTAGCTTGCACCACCTGTTGCACCACAACTGTCACCACCTGGCTTGCACCATATAGCTTGCAAAGCTAGCACACACACATCTTAAGCGGCATGGGCTGCACCACATAGCTGACACCACACAGCTCGCGCCACGACGCCCATACCACCAAGTTTGAACTTCGCAGCGTTCACCCCGTAGCTTGCACCGCATAGCTTCCCCCACATATGTAGCTTGCACCACATAGCTTGTACCACGAAATTGCACGACATATCTCACAGTTCCAGGGGGCTATAACTCACTGTTTGGAGCCCACGCTGGAACACATTTTTTAGTCTGGAAGTGGTCCTTCCAAGGATTTCAGTCAAGCGGGTAAGAGGAGGATCAGACGGGATAGGGGAAGTGGAAAAGCTGGATGCAGGGCGATGCGGGAGGAGTCAGGAGGATGACAAGACGAGGATGAGGAGCTCGTCCATCTCTCCAGTGCCTTGTGGAAGATTCGTTATAGTGAAGTGGAGTAGTCTCGAGTTGTATTGCGTAGCTGGGCCATCTCGCGCCCTGATCACGACTGACATCTGGCGTATTGCTCTGAACCATGTCGTCGCGTATGTGCTGCCCACGGACTCATGGGTCCCCTGCGATGGGGCGGAATCGAATGCACCCCGCTTGGTTGGTCATGTTGTATTCCCTGTCCTGGTGCTCCTCCTCCCACTCCTCTGTCTTGTCTTCCCTCATCTCGGACGTCTGGAATCGTACATGTCCTCTGCAGCAAGACATCCAATCGTTTCTCTGTCCCTGTCTGGTGCACTGCCTGATCCCGTGTGACTTGTTTGAGCAAGCCTTAACTGTTTTTGGAATTTCACAGCCCGTTTTGGCATATCGTACCACATATAGCGAGGAAATGTATCATTGTGTCCCTTCTCGTCCCCGACCCAATTTGCCAACCTCATTGAATTGACGGGCAGGTGCCATGGTCTATGACGCCTCCAGCGGCGACGCTTGGGAAGCTCAAGGCACTGCGAACCTGGTCCGAGAGTTGGCACCAGGCGCAGTGGAAAGCAGATTGTGAGACACCCCCTTGGTCCTCAGCTGCCCGCCTTCGCCTGCTCGTCGTTCTCTTCTTCATCACCCTCCTCTGGCGCCTGCTCCCCGCGCGTCTCCTCCTCCCGCTTTTCTTCCCGTGCCCCTCCTCCGCCTCGCCTCTTCGCCCTTCGCCCCCAGCCCTGCGTCGCCCCTCTCCTCCACGGCGCCCCGAGGCCTCCGCCGCCCCGCGCCCCAGACCGCTCCTGCGTTACGATTCCCCTCCCTGTCGCCCCGAGCCCTGCCCCCCCCCTCCTCCTCCTCCTCCTCCTCCTCCTCCTTCTCCTCCTCCTCCTCCTCCTCCTCCTCCTCCCTCCTCCTCCTCCTCCTCCTCCTCCTCCATCTCCTCCATCTCCTCCTCCTCCTCCTCCTCCTCCCTCCTCCTCCTCCTCCTCCTCCGCCGCCCCGCCCCCTCCTCCCCCTCCCCCTCCTCCCCCTCCTCCTCCTCCTCCTCCTCCTCCCCTCCTCCTCCTCCTCCTCCTCCATCTCCTCCTCCTCCATCTCCTCCTCCTCCTCCTCCTCCTCCTTCTCCTCCTCTTCTTCCTCCCTGGGTCCGACCCGCCATCTCCGGGCGACGCCAGCGTTGGTGGGCTAGTTTTCCAACACCACTACCATAGGTCGGACGGGGGAGAAGGAGGGATGGGGAGGTCCTCCTCCTCCTCCTCCTCCTCCTCCTCCTCCTCCTCCTCCTCCTCCTCCTCCCCCTCCTCCCCCTCCTCCTCCACCTTCTCCATATCCTACCTGTGGTAGTGGTGGTGGAAAATCGGCCCATCAAGCGTGCGAGAGTAGAGGCAGGATTGCTGGCTGCAGCCGCCGCCGCGCGCTGGGCCCTCGTCCTCGGGATGGGGGGAGGGGGTGGCAGCCTGGGCGAGGAGCGGGGACGAGGAGAGCGAATGGGATCGTGAAAACGTGTGGAGGAGGGAGTGCAGGATGGAAAAAAGGGGAAGAGAGAGCTGGAGATTAGTAGGGAGGAGGTGGGAGAGGAGGACGCGGAGGAGGAGGAGGAGGAGGAGGAGGAGGAGGAGGAGGAGGAGGATGAGGACGAGGAGGAGTAGGAGGAGGACGAGGAGGTTGCAGGAGAAGGGAGGAGGTGGGAAGGTAGGAGAGGCGAAGGAGGATGCAGGAGAAGGGAGAGCAGGAGAAAGGGTAAGAGAGAGAGAGGGAGAGATCAGGCTGAGAAGAATGAGATTGAGATCGAGGGGATGAGTGAGGGGGAAGAGGTCTCTCATCGCTGGCACCGGCTGCGCGAAGGGCAGCCGTTGCCCCGCCCCTCGCCCCCTTGCCGCCCCTGCTTGGCAAGCGGGGGCAAGTTGCCCCCTGTTTGCCGCCCCATTCCTCCCCCGCCCCCTCCCCCGCTCGCCGCCCCTTCCCCCTCCCCATGGTGCTCAATTCTCAGAAGGCGTCACGTCCAAACGAGGCCAGAAGGGGAGGCCAGCCTCGCGAGACGATCGCCACCCGACGGCGTCTTTCCGATTGGGCTCGACGGGGCCGTCGGACGGCCCGAGCATGTTCCCCCGTCAGCGATTCCAGCCGCGATTGTTCCACCCCTTTGTGGCGGCTCTCGTCCTGGCGCCCTTGCGCCGTCAAGGGGCCAGCCTCAGCACCCAGTTAGCAGACCACTCTGTCTGTTTGTGTTTGCCTCTTCCTGGCTGGCTGCGATACGAGGGCGATGAGATTCCGTATTCGTTCCCTGTTTGTTCCGCCTCCTGTAGTGTTGGATGATAAGCACGGCCGGTTGGTCTACAGCCAAGACGCTGAATTTAGTAGCAGATTGAGTTCGGAAGGGGCTCGATACTCCTCGGATCCTTCCATGGAGGTTCCTCTAGCCCTCCTCGTGCAAGCAGGCGTTTTCGGTGCCAAAAGAGAGCCTTCGTTCCTTGCGCAGCGTTCCTTATCTCAGCAGCCAGGCTGTAAGTCTGCATGCCATGCGCTGTCGTTGCCTGCTTTCCCGCGCGACGGTTCTGTGCAAATGCTCGCTTGCTGCAGGTCGATCGGTGCGCCGCGCCAGGCCTGCCCGGCGCAGCTCGGCTGCAGTGAGAGTTACCTTGTGCTGGAGCTGGTGGTCGAGCCCACGGTGGCCGTCGCTTGGGCTCGAGAGGGCCAGGGCGAGGACGAACCCGCCGCCCAGCAGCCCGAGGAGCAGAAACGCTGGGCCGAGAGAGTCGACAAGGCCCAGCACGTCCTGATCTGCGCGCATTCCGAGGCGCCCGCGCACTACACATACCTCAAGGCCGGCGGTTGCTACAATTGCCCCCGCCCCAAGGTGCCTCCAGTTTTCCGTTCCCTTTTGTGGCGTATCCCGGAGGCGCCCTGGGCGGGGGGCACTTGTAGCAATGCCCGCCATGGTCGCGAGGATCGGCGGGGGCGTCGCGGTGGAGTGCCGCGACGCCCTCAAGCAGCCGCCCGAGAACGCCAAGCAGGCCCAAAAGGGTCACATGCGAACTCGCACCTACACCCCGCGATTTCTGAGGGGGGAGGCTCGAGAGCTGCCGAACGAAGTGACCCCCGCCCCCCTCCTCAGAAGTCGCGGGTAGGGTTCGCACGTGGCCTCCCGAGGCCGCCGCGAGGATCCTCCGCAAGCTCGGCGCCATTGGCCCTGGCGAGACCTGCCCTGCGGGGAGCATCGCGATGTTCCAGGCCGGCGCCTGGCCCTGCGGCCCGTGGACGAGTCGCTGGATCGAGCGCGCCCTGCACGAGATCCGAGGCGAGGGCCGCCGAGCGCCCGCGAGCATCAACGCGATGTGCGCCCGAGGCAACGAGTGGGTCAGCAAGCTCAAGGAGGCCAGCGACAACGACTTGGCCAAGGCCAAGGCCAGGGCCGAGGCCAAGAGCGAGGCAGCCCGGCAAGGGCCCCGCGGCGGTCGAGCCGAAGCGCGCCACCGTCGAGGAGGCAAGCGCTGCCGCCCAAGCATGCGCCAAGTGCCTCCCGTGCAAGGACGGCCCCAAAGGGCGCCGAGCCTGCGTGAGCGAGGGGGTTGAAGCCGTGCGCAAGAGAGGTTTCTTGGCCAGAACGGCCAAGGACCTTTCTTGTGCAGGCAAGTTGTGGCCACGAGCCTCGAGATCTGTCGAGTCAGTCTTGCGCCAAGATCGACAATGTCAGTCTACGCGAGCACCCGGGATCACCGCCATCACCATCGTCATCCTCGTCGTAAGTTATAGCTAACATCACCTTACCCGGGAAAGCCGTGGATTACCCCCGCCAGACCCCCGAACTTTACTGTCCCGCGGCGATGATCATCCGGGGCACACGATTACTTCTTGCGCGTTTGGGCACCCGCCGGCGTTTCAAAAGCAGCGCGCCAAAAGTCATTCTAGTATGGTGTCACTCTTTTGCGCAGCCGAGTAGCCATTCATCCCGTTGTGCGGCGCGCGGTTTTCGTGCTCCGCGGCAGGCGTCTCGCGTGGACGCAGCGCGCGGCTACGGTTTCCAGATTGCCCGCGCGGATGTGTGTGTATATATATACACTAGAACCATCGCGCGCGCTTCGCGCGCGCTTCGGTTCTAGTTGAGGTCACGGCCAAGTCCTGCCAAAAGTCGTCTGAATACTGCCTGTTTCCGTGTTGTCACCTTGCTCATTTTCGCTCGTGTGTCGGTCCCTGTCTTTCCTCCTCCTGGCTTTCCGTTTTGGATTTCGCCCTGGTCATCCGTATCTTCGCGTTTCTCATCATCCTCTTCGGCGCGTCGGCCATTGGCGAAGATCGACGCAACACAAAGCAATAACAATTGCGACCCGGGGCGTTTTTTCATAGCGGGTGGCCTCGGGAGGGAGGAAGAGGACGAGCAGGGCGAGAGCCAAGAGCCGGCAGCGAAGGAGAGACGACCGAGCGAGCGAGCGGGCGAAGGGGAAGGCGAGGAGAAGCGGCGACGGGAGGAAGGGCGGGGCGGACACGCAGGGGCGAAGGTCCGATGGAGGAGAGGGGGGAGGAGGGAAGAGGGGAGAGATGAGAGGAGGACGAGAGGAGGGAGGACGAGAGAGGAAGGAAGGAGGGGGAGGAAAAGGGGAACGAGTGTTTTTTGTTTTTTGTTTGAGGCGCGCGCGCGGCCGGCCGGGGCTGCTTGTGCCATCTTGGACCAGGTTGGGACGGTCTTGGGGGCCTCTTGGGCCGTCTTGGAGCGTCGGGGCGACGAAACATTGAGGAAGCCAAAAAATTTGAAAAACCTGAAGGCAAGCAATGATTTTGGCTGTTTGGGTCCCTCTTGGGAATGCTCTTGGGGCTGTCCTGGGGCGTCTTGGGCGCAACTTGGGCCATCCGGGAACCATCTTGGGCGTCTTGGGGCGGTCTTAGGCGCGTCGAGGCACGCCTTGACCGTCTTCGACGCCTCGTGGGCCGTGTTTGCAAGCTCTTGGGCGGTCTTGGGCGCCTGTTCGGTTGTTTCTAGGCCCTCTTGGGCCGTCTTGGGGCGCTCTTGGGGGCCTCTTGGGCGATCTTGGGACGGTCCCGGGGACTTCGTGGGCTGTCTTGGAGGGTCGGGACGACGAAAAAACAAGAAAACCAAACACCTGCAAAAAACCAGCGGAGTTCAATGATTTCGGCCTCTTGCAGCCCTCTTGGCAATGCTCTTGGGGCTCTCTTGGGACGTCTTGGAGGCCTCTTGGGCCATCTGGGAGCCATCTTGGGCGTCTTGGAGCGGTCTTAGGCGCGTCGTGGCACGCCTTGACCGTCTTCGACGCCTCTTGGGCGTGTTTGCAAGCTCTGGGGCGGTCTTAGGCACCTATTGGGTTGTTTTTAGGCCCTCTTTGGCCGTCTTGGGGCGCTCTTGGGGGCCTCTTGGGCGATCTTGGGACGGTCCCGGGGACTTCGTGGGCTGTCTTGGAGGGTCGGGACGACGAAAAAACAAGAAAGCAAACAACCTGCAAAAAACCAACGGAAATCAATGATTTCGGCCTCTTGCAGCGCTCTTGGCAATGCTCTTGGGGCTCTCTTGGGACGTCTTGGAGGCCTCTTGGGCCGTCCGGGAGCCATCTTGGGCGTCTTGGAGCGGTCTTAGGCGCGTCGAGGCACGCTTTGACCGTCTTCGACGCCTCGTGGGCGTGTTTGCAAGCTCTTGGGCGGTCTTGGGCGCCTGTTCGGTTGTTTTTAGGCCCTCTTGGGCCGTCTTGAGGCGCTCTTGGGGGCCTCTTGGGCGATCTTGGGACGGTCCTGGGGACTTCGTGGGCTGTCTTGGAGGGTCGGGACGACGAAAAAACAAGAAAACCAAACACCTGCAAAAAACCAACGGAATTCAATGATTTCGGCCTCTTGCAGCCCTCTTGGCAATGCTCTTGGGGCTCTCTTGGGACGTCTTGGAGGCCTCTTGGGCCATCTGGGAGCCATCTTGGGCGTGTTGGAGCGGTCTTAGGCGCGTCGTGGCACGCTTTGACCGTCTTCGACGCCTCTTGGGCCGTGTTTGCAAGCTCTGGGGCGGTCTTAGGCGCCTATTGGGTTGTTTTTAGGCCCTCTTGGCCGTCTTGGGGCGCTCTTGGGGGCCTCTTGGGCGATCTTGGGACGGTCTTGGGGACTTCGTGGGCTGTCTTGGAGGGTCGGGACGACGAAAAAACAAGAAAACCAAAAACCTGCAAAAAACCAACGGAAATCAATGATTTCGGCCTCTTGCAGCCCTCTTGGGAATGCTCTTGGGGCTCTCTTGGGACATCTTGGAGGCCTCTTGGGCCGTCTGGGAGCCATCTTGGGCGTCTTGGATCGATCGTAAGCGTCTCGAGGCACGCTTGGACCGTCTTCGGCGCCTCTTGGGCCGGACAAGGGCGCTCCCGGAGGCCCGATCCCGCCATGGGGGGTTGCGGTCCCGGCCAGGGAGCCCCCGGCCCTGTAGCCCGGTATATATATATATATATATATATATATATATATATATATATATATATACATATACATATATACATACATAATACATACATACATACATACATACATACATACATACATACATACATACATACATACATATATATAATATAATATATATATATATATAGGGAGAGAGAGAGAGAGAGAGAGAGACAACAAAAAGAGAGAGAGAGAGAGAGAGAGAAAGAGAGAAATAGAGAGAGAGAGAGAGAACACAAAAAACGGAGCATAAGTCCTTCTCCTCCTCCTCGTCTTCCTCCTCGTCACCCCTCTTCGTCTCTCATGTTCCGCACCTTTGGCTGCGTCGCAAGATCGCCGGGCCCCCCGGGCACGCGTCGGCCACCCGCGGGCTGGACCTTCCACCTGATGAGAGGGGAGGAGGGGGGTTGCGCTGCTGATGGAGAGGTGTAGTCGAGCGTTCGCCTCTCTCGGCGTGCTTGCACGCTTCCGCTCAATGTAGTTGCTGTCGCGCTCTTCGCGACAGCATGCCCTGGCCGTCGCTTTGGCAAGGAGGGCGACCCGAGAGCGTAGGCCCGCCCACGCTCTGGTTCGATCTCCGCAGGCCTGAGGAGCAACCGTGTCGGGGTGGCCTGGCGCCAGGGACCTAGTTGCTTCTCAGGTGCGGTGTGCAGCAAAACTGCGCACCAGCCCGCTAGATCGGCAGCCATGGCTTGTTGCTGTCTGCTGTGCGTGTTGAGTCGCTTTGACTGCTGTGATCATTCAGCCGCTTGCTTCGGCTGATGCGGATGATTGCTTTCGGCACTCAGGCGAATCTGCGTGGGTGCGCTGGGGCGCACTAGACTGGGCGTTGCCTACGCAGGGCCAGAGGGAAACGCCTTGGTCCGAGGGGCAATACGAGCTGTGAGCTCCTGACCCCTGCAGTCGCAGGGATCATCATCATAACCAACATCAGCATCACCATCATCATCATCACCACCATCATCACCGTCATCATCTTTACCATCATCATCAGCATCATCATCATCATCCCCTCCTCCTCCTCCTCCTCTTCATCCCCCTCCTTCTCCTCCTCCTCCGCCTCCTCCTTTCCTCCTCGATCATCGGCCCTGTTCGCGAATCTGTCGAGCTCCTCGAACCTCGATCCTCCTCCATCCTGGAGCTTCGATGCTGCCCGAGTCGTTGGTTCACATTTTCCTCGCTGGCCCTCGCCGCCTGTCCCACTGCGCGCCGCCCGCAGCGCGGCCGCCCGCCATCCGCCTCCCGCCCCCGGGGGTGGCTTGGGACCCGCGGCCTCCCGCCCCCATCGGGAAGCGCCGTGCTCAGGCTCAGCGGCGGGCTGGGCGACCGGCTGGGCTGCGCTTCGTCGTCGTCGTCGTCGTCGTCGTCGTCCTCGTCGTCGTCGTTGCTGTCGCCTCCCTCGTCGGCGGGAAGGAGGAGGGGAGGGGGCGGAGAGGAGGGCAGTGATCAGGAGCAGGAGGCGAACGGGGTCGGGAAGCGGAGGAGGGAGGGCGAGCAGGAGGAACAGGAGGCAGAGGGGACGGCGTCGCAGGAGAGGAAGACGTGGGAGGGCAGAGGACAGAGTCCGGGCCCGTGCGGACGCGCTCGGACTCGAGGGGGGCATCTGGTCGACGTTCCTCTGCCTCCTTCTCCTCCCTCCCCCTCCTCCTCCTCCGCCTCGCCCTCCTCCCTCGTGCTCCTCGATCCTCCTCGGGACTCCTCGATCGTCGACCCCCCGCTTTCTCGACGCCCTCCTCGAGCCTCTCTCCTCTTTCCTCCTCCTTCTGGTGGTGTGATCTTTGCCGCCCGTGCCGCGAGAAGCTCCAGGACGCCCCTTTTGAGCAGCCAGGGCAGAGGAGGAGGCGGAGGAGGGAGGAGGATGCGGAGGAGGAGGAGGAGGAGGAGGCGGAGGAGGCGGAGGAGGAGGCGGAGGAGGAGGAGGAGGAGGGGGCTACCTGGGCGCGTTCCGTTCTTTTTCCTCACCTGCCATTTGCAACCATTGCTCTGCGTAGCCGGTGCACCTTTACGCCTCACACCCGGCATCGTTCGTGTCACTCGCTTCTCTTTGGTGCTTGGCGGTCCAGTCCCCTGCTGGAGCAAAACGAAGAAGAATAAGGAGAAGGGTTGGGAGCAGTAGGGGTAGGCCCAAATCGAGGCGATCCTTTCGCAGGGGCTCCCCCGCCCCTCCTGGCTCGTCCCGCGCTCCTCTGCGCAGAGCTGTCTCGATTGTGTCATTCTCTTCGCACGTGCTTTTCAGCTACTGATGTCAGTCAAAGGGTCATGGTGTGCGCACGCGCGCAGCCCCTCGGCTGACAAACAAACGTCCTGCGCTCCTGCGGCGGCAGGGCCATGCGGTGGCTCGGTGTTCTGGGCACGGACGTGGACCACGAGCACGATCATTTCCAGGAGTGCCCGGCGCCCCAGGGGCAGAAAGTCAATCGGGGGTTCGTAGAGGGGGGGAACGCACCCAGTTGGATGCTTGGATGCTCTGATTTCTTTATTCCAGAAGCCGTTTGGAGCGATTTTTCTCCCAGCCGCACCTCTGCCCCGACCCCACCTTTCCGCCCCCCCGAGAGAAGGACGAGATGATGAGAGGATAACGATGCAAGGCGGTGACGACGACGATCAGGACACGGACGAGGATGACAAGGAAGAGGAGGAGGGGGAGATGGTTCGGCGGCGAGCCTGGGGGGGAGGAGAGAGGGGGCGGGCCTTCTCAGAAGGCTCGGAAGGCTTTCGGCCTCTTGAGAAGTCTTCTGAACCTTCTCCAAAGACAGAGACGGCTTCTCAGAAGGCCCGAGGGCTTCTGAGAAGCCCCGCCGCTTGCTGAGAAGGCATTCCCTCTCTCACGTCCCCTGGGGGCTCGCCGCCAGATGGTGGTGGTGGTGGTGGAGGTGGTGGGGGGTGAGGGCGAAAAGGACAGGAGGAGGGGGATGGGGAGGACCGAAGAAGAAAGAACGCCATGAACATAAACTTCCGTAGGTCCGCGCGGATGTCTTTGATCGGCGTTGGACCCGAAGCGCGCCAGGGGAGGCGCCTGAGGCGCCGCCAGGAGGGTCCAGCGCAGATCCAGTAAATCCCCGCAGGGTTCCGAGTGTGTATGCACATGGACGTTCTTTCCTCCTCTAGAGGAGGGGGAAAAAGGACTGGCAGCAGGCAGCAGGAACTCGAAACTCGGATCTCCGCGAAACGTCTCCACAAGGGACATTATACCGGGTTTGTGCAAATCGCGGAGCCGCTTGCAGACCAAGCAAGCCCACCCTGCGTCGGCAGGATGACCGCGCCTTCGATGCTGGAAGGGCGGCCGGAACCATATGCAATTCCACGGTCAGCCCGATCGCTGGCGCAGGAGGACAAGGAGCACGAGAAGGTGCGCTGTCAGGCCACTGGGCCCGCATGGGGCGGGTGGCAGGCCTGGCCATCCGCGCCCGCGAGGGAGGTCCCGTTCCATGGGCTGCCTGTTCGACATGGGCTGTCCCTGAAGTGCACCCAAGAAGCAACTTGCCCAAGGCCATCCGTGGACGCGTATACTGTTTCCCCTTGCCTGGCGCATCGCGCCTGCTGACGCGGTCTGCCTGGCTGGCGCTCTGGCCCCCCGGACGCCGTCCGCGCCGCCCGCGGGCCGCTCCGGTTGCTCATGGCGGAAGTCTTCCGCTTCTGAGTACTCGCCCTCCTCTCCCTCCCCCCAGCCGCCCTTCCCTTCCTTCTCCCTCCTGCTGCATGCCGGCCAACTCGCTTTGCACTGCCCCTGCATCGATGCCACGCTGGAGCGGCTCGTCCTGCCTCGCTGCCGACGGAAAAGTTCGACATGGGCTGCCGGTTCGACAGGCCTACCCGTGGAGCCGTGGCTGGGACGTGGGTGACGGGAGCGGTGTCATCGGGCGGCGCCGTCGAGGGAGCGCCGGGCGAGCAGTTTAGGACACCGAGCCCGTCCGATGGCCTCGCCGACGGGCCTCGCCGTGAGCCCGCGTGCGGCGCACCCCTCGGGCTCTCCCGCCGCCGCCCTCCCGCTGCGCGGCCGCCTCGCACGGCCATCCTCAGGGCCGGAGGCCGCCAGCGCCGCCCAGGAAGACGACTCGGGGGCAGCGTTGGCCAGAGGAGGGCAAGTTGAGATGATGCTAGTTGGCCTTCGGGGGGGCCCTCGTCGCCGCGTGGACCCCGGGAGGGGTCTGGGGGCCGATGTCGTGCTGCCGTTGTCTCGCGTCGCCCTGCTCCGAGTTTGGGTGGATTGGCTCGGGGGGGGGGGGGGGCATCAATCCCCGATCGTCCATTGATCGCCCATGGTGGTCTGATGGGCCCACCCGCCGAGAAAGCTGCGGACTCGACATCGGGGGCCCATCGCCGACCTCTCGGCGATGTGCCGCCGATGCTGGCTCGGTGTTTCTCCCCTGAGCCTGTCCCCCCAGCGTCGTTTCCCCCAATGACCTTCGCATGAGCGGGGTTTCCTCTCCCACAGAATCTACGTTTGTCGTCGGGTCTACAACAAAGACGTCGACTTCTCGCAAATCTAGGAACATTATGCGTCGTACACTCGACGAACACAAGAAATTTGGGTAAACTCCATTTTGCGGTCGATCTCCGATTTGATTACTACTCCCAGTTTCTCCCTGACAACGCTCCCCGACCTCTGGCGACGTGCTCCTGCAAGTCCCGACGCTTCCAGCCCGCTTTTCGGCGACGGGCGAGGGGGGGAAGTGAGAAGGAGAAGGCCTTCTCAGAAGGCGGCCGAATTTCTCAGAAGCCCTTGCGCCTTCTGAGAGGTTTTGTGCGTCTTGGGGGGAGGCTTATAAAACTTCTCAGACGGCTAGGGAACTTCCGAACCTTCTGAGAAGGCCTTTTCCTTTTCATTTCTCCCCCTCGCTTGCCGCCAAGCTGTTTCCTCTCCCGAGCCCCCCCCCCCCCCCCCCTGACGCCCTGGCCAGAGCGGGGGTTCCTTCCTTTGCGCCGCTCGGCCAGCAGCGTCAGCCGAGGGGCCACGCGCGCGCGCACGGAACCTCCAGCAAGTGCAGCGCGAGGAGCCTGAATGCTCCTCCTTGCTCCTCGTCCGCCTCCTCCCTCCTCCTCCTCGTCCGCCTCCTCCTCCTCCTCCTCCTCTCCTCCTTCCTCCTCTCCTCCTCCTCCTCCTCCTCCTCCCCTCCTCCTCCTCCTCCTCCTCCTCCTCCTCTCCTCCCCTCCCCCCTCCTCCTCCCTCCTCCTCCTCCTCCTCCACCTCCTCCTCGTCGTCCTCCTCCTCCTCCTCGTCCTCCTCCTCCCTCCTCTCCTCCTCCTCCTCCCTCCTCCTCCTCCTCCTCTCCTCCTCTCCGCCTCCTCCCTCCTCCTCCTCCTCCTCCTCCTCTTCCTCCTCCTCCTCCTCCTCCTCCTCCTCGTCCTCCTCCTCCCTCCTCCTCCTCCCTCCTCCTCCTCCTCCTCCCTCCTCCTCCTCCTCACTCCTCCTCCTCCTCCTCCTCCTCCTCCTCCTCCTCCTCCTCCTCCTCCTCCTCTTCCTCCTCCTCCTCCAGACACTCCAAAGGCTAACACCCTCATATGGCGGACTCCGGAAACCTTGAACCCCAAAACATGTTCATCCCTTGGGGGCGCATCTCTTGCTCCCGCCGCCCTCCGCCGCCCTTCCGCCGGCTTCCGCCGAGGAAGAGATGACAACTCCTTCGATCCTCGAACGCGGGGCTCTTTTGGAAATGCCTCATATCAGCGGAGCTTCCCCGTCCTCGCCCCCTTCCGCGGGCCGCCCCTCACTCCGCCACCGCCTTCTCCCAGGTGCGGTTGGCTGGGCCGGTTCGCCCTCCTCGGCCGACTGCGCCCTGCCTTCGGCCTCCCCGCGGCCGAAGTAAGAGGCGCACCGCTCTCGCCGCGGGGGACCTTTCCGGTGCCGCGCTCGACGGCGGGGGCCCCTTACTCCGAGCTTCTTCCCGACAGCGTTCCGCGAGGAGGAGAATGGAGGAATGAGGAGGAGGAGGAGGAGGAGGAGGAGGAGGAGGAGGAGGAGGAGGTTCGATAGTCGACGAAAGAGTTTGGGACATTTGGGGCATTTTTTGGAGCTCCAGAAGCCTCTGGGGGCTCCCTAAGTGTTGCGGCATGGCGGCGGACAGACAGCAGTTCCCGCCATTCTCGCACGCCGACCTCCAAGAATTTGAGGCTTGCCCGACCTTCCCCTCGCAGGCCACGCCTGGGGCTTGCAAAGGTGGCCGCCCTCTTCATGTTGGCTCTGAGGGCTCTGCTCACCGTGGCTGGCTATCCCGTTCGCGCAAGAGGAGCAACATGACTGGCCCAGGCGCAGATCTTGTAGATGAAGACATGGACGACTGCTCGAGGCAATCATTTGCCAGGCATGCCCCGACTTCCTCGAGTCTTACAAGACCGCCATCCCCTTCGAAATCTCAGCTTCTGTCACCAGGGGGACAGCTGGCAGCAATGCGAGGATCCTGGCCCTGGTCGACGAGCTCCGCAAAGAGGTTGCCGCCCGTGACGATGGAACACTGCAGGTTCCAGTCGCAGCTGGACGCTGCGAACAAACGGATCAAGGGGGCTGGGGAGTGACTCGATGAACATGGTGACCAGCTCGCTGCACTGCGGTCTTAGATAGCTGAGTTGCGCAAGCCTGGCCGTCGCCAAACAGACGCGCCTCCCCGCCCCGCTGGTGCCCGGCGGCTTCGAGCGCGACGTTGACCCCACGCAGGTGGCCGCGTTCGCGCAGAGACCTGCGACGCTCGAGGCATTCAAAGCCACTCTCGCTCCATGGGTGGCCTCCCTCGGCTTCCAGGACTCGGACCACAAGTTTAAGGCCCTCGGCCATCTTCCCTCCAAGAGGTTCGCCATCCAGTTCGCGGGCTTGGCCGCCCCTGCAGCTCGGCGCGCCCGCAAGCTTCTGGGCTGCCTCAAGCTGGCTGACGGCGCTTGGCAGGAGATCTCGGTGGAGGCTGGCGCTGCGCCACCGTGCCGGCTGCACCTCGGCCCCGACAAGAATCCAAAACAGATCCGTCTCGAGGTCACGCTGCGTCGCCTGTGCATGGCCTTGGCCGAGGCGTACCCTTACCCTCCCTCCATATCTGCATGGACAGGGAACGTGGCACGCTGTCGGTCGGCTGGAGTCGCGTCGCCAGTGTGGAAGCATTCCCAGGTGAGTTCCCCCCGAGGTTTTCTGGGAGCCGACCAACCTCAGCAAGGCCGGCCAGCGCAGGCAGAGGCGCGTGGATTCGCGCCGCCACCTCGCTGTCCCCGCGGCAGAGGAGACTAGGTGTCTTTAGCATCTGCAGTCTCTTCCAGTGCGCACGTCCTAGGTCTGGGGCGCCTCGCCCCTTGGTTGCGACGTGGAGCCGTCGAGCTTTGTTCGCGCTGCTGGGGCAAAAGCTAGCCTGGGGAGGGGCTGCCTTGCTCGTTGGATTCCGCGGGATGCGATAATTTCGTTTCGA